AAAATTCAGATCAAAATTTATTAAAACATAAAATGACATAAAAACAAAAATTAATATGGTGAAAAATACATTTAATTTCGTAGTCATGAAATTTTGAGAAATCGAAGCCAAAAGTTAAAAACTCAGTTTTTTAATCGAATTTAATGGGCATGTTCAAAGGTGCCCCACCCGTGGCATTTTAAGGAAATGTATAATTTTTTTTGTAATAAATATATATGAAAGAAATTACATTAGTTGTGTTTGAAATGATTACTGAAATGCAAAAAATTTGTTTAACGAAAGAAAACTTTCACAGAATTCTTCCTGCACACTTACAACCAAAAGGAAAAAGTTTACAATTACACTGCGAAAACATGTTCACCCATGTACAATTTGTCGACAACTTAAAAAGCTAGCAAAAGTGGTTTACGCAGATAAAGAACAAGATTGCCATATACAAAATTGTGGTAGCGGGTCGGAAAAAAATTAATCCAAGATTTTAGAGCGCTGTTCGAAGGTGCCCCGTTCAAAAGGTGCCCCCTCTCCCCTATATATGTATATTTCTCTATTTAAATGTATATATTTTTAATTTTATGGACAGGTTCGTTATGCATGATAGTCACAACACATCCACTTTTTGTGTACAATACACAATTACAGATATTTTTTAAAGTCAACTATGAACATTTTCTCAAAATGTTGTTAATTCAATTTGGTAATGTCTGGAATTAATTCCAAGTAGATTGCATGTTGATTTAATGCAATCTGCGGAATAAAAAGAAACAATGTTCAATATTGTTCAACATTAATTCCAACATAAAAAACAAATTTTGCAATTCAAGGCATAATGTTAATTCTGAATTGAACATCATTGATTGAATGTATTTCAATGTTATATTTCGTTTACATTGAACTTTATTGATTTAAGATGGTGCGATCTTATTTTTAAGTTGTGATTGTTTTCTGAGCGTGCTTAAAAGTAATAAACACAATATAATCGAAAAAATATATGACTGCAGGAGTGGAACGACAATGTTGTCAGATTCTTAAAGATAATGTTCATTATTCTAAAGGAATGTACCAAAAGTTTAAAAATTAAGTTATTTCGTAATAATATTCGAAGGGCGTAGTCCATTTGTTTGCACGCTCGAATTAAATACACTACTAAATTATGATACACAATTAGGAAGATCAGTGCCCACATCGATCAACTCCCCAAAACGAAAAATTGAGCAAAGCCATCATGGTATGTGGTTGTTTCAATTGTTTCCATCGTTTGAAACATGATACAATTATACAAGGAAACTGTAAAGCACACCACTGATTTAATTCCAACATATTACTCATGTAATTTTCTTCGATATGACAAATTATAAAAATACCCAGCAAGAATTGTTATTTATTAAATGTTCTTCAGTATTCAATTGACTTGATCTATCTGATAGGAAAGATTGTGGTAGTACATTATTCTTCATAGAATAATTCCCGACTTCCAGTATATCCATACGTGTGTGTTATACACATACAACAGACAATTCGGTCAATTAGAGGAATGTATGGAGGCGATATAAATAAAAATTTCATTCGAGTTTTTCAATTTTATTCAGAAAATTTATTTTTGCATTTCTAAAGTAAATAAAATTCCATGCGTTTTGTTTCTATTTTTGACATATAAAGGTCCACTATTTTATTTACATGTGTCATCTTCTTATTCTTCTAAATTAATAATAGGTTTAGGTATTCAAATTGTCCCACTGACAATTACTGATATAAATGAACCAAAAACAAAATTTGGATTATCTTCCAATATACCATTACAACATTACTCTTCTAAAAATGGAAGACAAAAATATTTAACATATTTCTCTTAGTCAACAATTGGTCTGTTCCACTACTTTTTTTAATATTAAATCTATTAAAATAATAATGTCAAAATATCTCTTAGAGTAGAAAATAATGCGAAAAGTTTTGGGGCGAACAACTGTAAAAATGTCATAATTAAATAGCAATACCTTGAGATCAACACAGCAACCCATCATTTGCATTCCTAGTTACCATTTTTACTCGGCCAAACATCTTGAGTAAAAAGTTTACAAAGAGAACGCCATTTTGTTTAGTGTTCTCTTAAATTCGGTTGAAAGTTTTACTAGTTTTGTGGGTTCGGGCACGATTATATATATATATATATGTATATATATACTAGCAGACCCGGCAAACGTTGTTTTGCCTTATCAGAATTGCATCAATATGGGGTGGGTCAAAATTAAAGAATTCATGGAAAATATATTTCAGACCCTATTTACCAAAATTGTACGTCAAATTTCCACAATCAAAAAATATTATGCATATTTGTTTCCTCATGACGGTAAACCTTCATTTACTGATACTCCAGTATATTAAGTAATATTGTTATTGTTAAATATTAAATAATGTCAGTATATGTGGTATTTCAGTTTATCAATTGATCGAATTTATGCCACCAAACATTTGTAAGTAGAAGGTTAAGTTTTGATCCAACTACTCTTATCACAAAAGATAATTACTATTCCTATTTTGATCACATTCGATTAATAAATCCTATAAAAGGTGTGTGTTCAATTACTCCAATCTCCGACTTTTTATGTTTTTCTCAAATTTTTCTTTGGTAAAACTCTTCCCAATGCAATTAAAAACAATCGAAGAACAATCACATCATGAATAATATATTTGAGGGAGCATAAAGGCACATATAAGATAGACACCTAGAGCATCTAATGCGCAGTTGTCTCCATATAGGATTCATATTTATATATATATATATATATATACTTCCTGAATATAATAAATTGACAATAATACCTTCCATAGCTAGCTAAATTGTTGAGGTATTTATAATGGACATTTTGGTATATCCTATGTATACGTATTGACATTTTTCACAAATAAAGCCTGTTTTTTTCCTATTTAGAATACGTTCAAGTTTCAGCCAATGATTCAGATATAGTGTGAGATATATGTCATGTGTTGGTTTTATAAGTTAAAAAATTGGCTCACAATTATTGTAATGAGGTTTAATTATATTTGTCCATATTTTGGCATAGTACTATTACTTTGAACGTAGTAACAAATACCGTATACATTGCCTTTTATTCGGTATTGCATGTAGGATAAGGAACTTCTCTGTAAATTGTCGGTATAGTATCACTTTATGGCATTTCCCACATAATGGCAGGCATATCGGTCCAGCCGTTCCTTCGAAATATTTTTTGCAAAATTTTCGCAGATTTTTCTCAAAATGTTCTTGCATAAAAGCCTCCCCTCTTCAATTACTGGCAAGTGAAAGAAATTTTGAGTCAAATCGTTGCCGGCGTTCTCAATTGATGAGTTACTATACAGTTTTAAATCACTTTTATAATTAGATTTAAATTAATTTTACTTCAATTTGATAAGTTATTCATTTTTCGCGTTTTTCACGAAAACAGGTTATGTATGAGTCGGTGTCGGAATACTTAGCGTCGGCACACACCGATTAAGCACCCAATCTCTAATCGGGCAAAACACAAAGAAGCTATATATCGCGCCATCTGTCGGACGAACTTAAAATTAAACACAAAAACACTACTCACGCCCCATAGGACATATACGTAATGTTTGGTCAAAATCGGTGCATTAGTTCTTGAATTATAGTAAAAAACCACAAAAAATCTAAATATTGCGCCATCTGTCGGATGAACAAACTACACAGAAACACTCCTCACGTCCCATAGAGCATGTACATACAATTTGGTCCAAATCGGTGCAGTAGTTTTTGAGTTTATCGATCACGAACATACACGTAATTTTTATATATATAGAGATAGAGATATATATTTATATCAATCATAAGTTTTGTTGTTCTACGTTTGGAAAGCCACCTTTATAAACAAATTAAAGGTCCTGATGTATAAGACATTGCAACAACTACTAGGAATTAATAAATATTTCTTAAAACAACTATATAGTGAAGATGAAAACTCAAAAGATGGAAGTTAACAATTCGACTTCGAAAGTCTTTAATGAAGAAATACAGTGTATTTTTGTATAATGACATCTACAATACCAAAACGATGGTTTGAGTAGTACAACATAGTCTTTGTATAACTTCACATAAACTTTTTCTGACATTTTGAATCTGGACTTAATGTTTTTTTGTATTAGTTCGGCTATAGCCTGAATTATTAAAAAATATTAAATTTCTAAAACTTCCTCGAAAAGCCGGCTTACATTTCATTAAATAATATATGTATAAAAAATCTTTCGATGTCATTTGAGATGTTTTATACCTCTCTAATTATTAAAAAGTCTATATATTTTTTAACAAACATACAAATGACTTGTGTGACTTTTAATGTCATTTTTTAATGTCGTTTATTTGGCCCATCTCTAACAATTGAGAGAATTTATCGAAGAAAATATAATTTGACAGAATTATAAAAATTAATTGAAATTTCACAATGTTTAAGAAAAATTGAAAACGATGTATGTATGATTGAAAAGTAAAAATTTGAACGGATTTTTCTACATAATTCAATACACATTTCTTCTCAATCGGTTTTAATTAGACACAATAATGGGATATAGCAAGATAAAAATAATCATGTTTTTTGATATATCAAAAACGACGAAACTTTTAGAAAACATTAAAAACTTGAAAGATGGACTTGTTATCAATAGTCGGTGCATATTCTGGCTCACTTATTATACAGCGATTGTATTTAGAAATTAAGTCTACATAGTCGTGCCGCTGGCCTAGTAAAATGGTGGCGAGAGTGTTAGATGGTGCAGCACGAAAATATTAAATATCAACATATTTTTTAAGAAATCCACACTGCGCGTCGATATATCTAATACATTTTACTAAACCGAGCAAACCCCTAAACAATGCTAAAACACGGACTTACGTTCAATAATGACAGAAATGCAACTAACCAAAGAAGAAATACTAGATACCATATAAACAACAACGACGAATTCAAATTGACTCTTTAGGTTTAATGTCGTAGTCGAGCATTATGGCAGAAACCGATCTGTACGATAAAACAAACTCTGAAACATTTCTCCAGTATGGCTCCGATAAGCAACAGCAACCAATTGTGGTGGTGGTCGGCGATGGTCGCAGCCGTGTTCGAAAAGTGGTTCGAACAGCCACACGTCACGTAACGGTGGTCAGTTATTCGACACGGCACAAAGAGACCAGAACACATACATCACATCACGTAACGACTGTAAGGTAAGCCAATAACAATTTTTTCGTTGACATTTAATTCCACGAGCAAAAATTACCAAATGAGCAAAGAGGTCCTTTATATGTCCACATTAATTTTCATAATACGTTTACAATGGCAATAAATATATATCATTCAGAATTTTTAATGTTACATCTCAAGAAAATTATTAGCGTTTTTATATAAAAACTGAAAAAACAGGAACAATTATGATATGATCATATGGATTAAGCAGAGTCCAAATAACACAAAATAACAATGAATATGAGTGTTTTTCTGTACCTGTACAATGGCCAGCAATGGACTGAGCTAGTCCGAATTTCCAAAACTACGTACATATTCTAATCCTATATGAATTTCCAAAACTTTCTACAAAGCCAAATCCTACACCCCAACAGTGATCCTATCATCCAATTTCAAGATTCCAGCTCTATCGGTTAACTCAAATCCAAATTTGGTACCATTTAGTACACATTAGTACAAATTTCCAATACGTTTTCCATAGCCCAATCCTACACCCCAACAATGATCCTAACTCCAAATTTTATGATCCCAGCTCTATTGGTTCAAACAAATCCAAATTGTACCAATTATAGTACGATTTAGTACTTTTTGTACACATAAGTACAAAATCTCCAATATTACGTACATATTCTAATTCTACTCTCCGGCGGTATTGTGTAATTTTAAATTTTAGGATTCCAGTTCCATTTGTATCTCCAATTAAAAATTGTACCAAATATAGTACCATATAGTACTTTTCGCATACACGAGTACACGATTTCAAAACCACCTCCTTATATCGACCCTACTTCTCAACCTTAATTCGCATTCCAAAATTCAAGTTTTTAGTTCAATCCATTCAAATGCTACGAAATTGTACCAAATTAAGTACATTTTAGTACTTTTTGCATACTTATAGTTCGAATGTCCAAAAAAACCCTTTGCTATATCTATTTTACACTCCTTCAGTGAGCTTCATTTAAAATTTAAGATTTCTAGCTTTACCGGTTACCCAAACATAAATGGTATCACATTTAGTACTTTTCGTACCGTCCTAGTACGAATTTCCAAAAACCCAGCCTTATATGTCAGCTTTGGACCAAGAGTGACCCTCACCCAAAATGTCAAGATTCTAGCTTCAGCCGTTTCGTCTGGGCGTTGGTGAATCGTTAAGTCAGTCAGTCAATCACTTTACTCTTTTATTAGTATAGATTACAAGATGGTCTTGCCCATTTAGAACGAAGTTTTACAATTATTTAAAATTTATATAATCATTACACATTCGAGGCGTCTTTTATTTTTTTAATTTATCCTTCCTTGACAATCAAATATTATACATTCAAAACGGATATTTTTTTCTTTTACGCGGCAAACTGTATACACTCAAAGTCAAACAACTATGTATTATATCAAACCATTTTCGATTTGAATCAGGTCGGCGACAGCTGTTCAAAGTGGACATAAAATGTGTGTGTTACGAGTTCTATGAGTGTAGATTGGAAGTGTGTCGCGGCTAAAGTCACTGTGTTGAAGGCCTTCCGTTTGTCATTTGGATAAATATGTTCTGCATACAAATGAAGTGCCTGCAAACATTTGTTTACTGGTGTCTTTGCTGTTGCCGTTTCAGTAAATAGGAAACATTGTTGTGATTGTCATAGTCATCGGTAACACCGCTTTTTGTTTCCTCTTTCCTAATAGTTGTATTAGCACGTTCCACAACAAGAATCGCTTATACACATCAATGAACTGTCACCGTGACCCCAAATAATATTTCAATGTAGAAAATATATTGTTGTATGAATTTTATTCACCAATCTAATTGAATTCGAGAAGTGTTAATGCTATATATACATTCGTCTAGTCCTAGTATATACGATAAATATTACCCATTTCAGAAAAAAGTCATTTTCGGTTTAAGAATAAAATGTGTAGACATATTTTCAATTATCTTCGGATGTTTGATGCGTATTCTGTTAAAAACTATAATGATAATAAGTAGGTAATGTTGGTACACATTCGCAGTGATTTCGTTCGTACACCCACCAACATTTTTATTTTATTATTCCAAAAAAGAAAAAATTTTTTTGAATTATATTTTTTATTTTGCTTTGTAACATGCACTTTTTCCAACGATACAGTATGGGCCAGGAATACAATTTTTGGTAAAAAGCCCTTTTTCAAATTTTGGGGGCTTTGAGCTTTCCACCAGTAATTTTTTTTATAACTGCATAATGATATACACCTAAGTCTGTTTTTACACGGTCTTTTTGTACACGGTTTTGATATAACACGGTTTGCAAATTGAATATTTTTAATTTTTTTACACGATTTTAGTCCATTTAGCACGATCTGAAATTTTATGTACTTAAATTTTTTTGTCAAATTTAATTTTTGCGAAGTATGTTCATATCACAAAAAAGTATTTATGAAAGAAAAAAGTCTGAAACCATCTACCGTGTAAAAACAGACTTAGGTGTACTAAAGGTCTTGGGGCCATACAAAGCTATAATACCCTGACAACATAGTTGTGTGGGGTATTAGAATTAGCATTTTTAAAACATTCTGTTTTGAATTTAATTTTAGTACATGTGTGTAATGGTGCGTTACGAGTGTAACATGTGCGTGACGGTGTTCAAAGTTAAAAAAGTATGTGTTAAATCTCAATATAATCTTAAATAACCCTTTATAGCTGAAAAAAAAAATTCGCAATTTTATCTCCATCCAATTCGCAGAAATTTCATATCGAAACTGATATCGAATTTTTAAAGGGAAAATTTTGTAGCGCGTGCGTACGCTAAATTTTTCTTAATATCTCCGAAATGTATAAACATATTCATAAAAAATTGCAAAAGAAATTTGGGAAACAAATTTTTCTTAACTAAACAAACGATTATATTTCGCAAGCTGTAACAGTGCGTGACATGGAATTCGTGATATAACCTTGAGATGTGTCAATTAAAGAGATGGAACTGGTGATTATAACGAAAGTGAAAATTATTAGTAATTATAAGATAATCATCAAAAATTTCGTGTATAAAACTCATAATTATGATTTTTTCCAAAACATTCGAGTTCTAGAACCTAGTGTCAAAGGGTATTTTAATGGAACACCAATCGGCGTCTTAATATGTTCTCTATCCAGAATTTTGCGACCGTCTGCGACCGTTCATACATAAATTTCATATTTCGTTGCCGACGATTAATCAACCGAGGGTTGTTATGTTTGTGGAAAACTTATAAGGAAAAGAGAATTTCATTTTGCGTATTGCTATTTTATTTTAACTTATTAAAAACTGTTAATAATAATATTAAAAACTAAATTATATATAAAATAAAAACCATTAGAGATGGTTCATCGAGCTTGAGGTCAATGTTTTGTATTTATTTATTATTTTCCAATATTTCGAAATTCGTTGAATTTCATCTTCAGGGAAGTTGATCTACAATAAATAAACATATACAAAATTAGAATATATATCACAGCTTTTTAATACTATAAAAACATATAACTCATAAGATATGATCGCTTACTTTTAAATAACAAACATTAAATAATTATCTTAAAACTAGCGTAGTGTGACTACCAATTTCAAAATTTTATTGCACTTTATGATGTATTTGTTATTTGTTATATTGAAATACAACTAAAATGCCTAGTGTTTAATTTGTGCCTGTAGCAATAAGCTGTGTCCAAAAACAATCCATAAAGTTTTATTTAATTCCAGTAATTTTTTTTATAACTGCATAATGATATACACCTAAGTCTGTTTTTACACGGTCTTTTTGTACACGGTTTTGATATAACACGGTTTGCAAATTGAATATTTTATTTTTTTTACACGATTTTAGTCCATTTAGCACGATCTGAAATTTTATGTACTTAAATTTTTTTGTCAAATTTAATTTTTGCGAAGTATGTTCATATCACAAAAAAGTATTTATGAAAGAAAAAAGTCTGAAACCATCTACCGTGTAAAAACAGACTTAGGTGTACTAAAGGTCTTGGGGCCACACAAAGCTATAATACCCTGACAACATAGTTGTGTGGGGTATAATAATTACCACATTTAAAACATTCTCTTTTGAATTTAATTTTAGTACATGTGTGTAATGGTGCGTTACGAGTGTAACATGTGCGTGACGGTGTTCAAAGTTAAAAAAGTATGTGTTAAATCTCAATATAATCTTAAATAACCTTTTATAGCTGAAAAAAAATTCGCAATTTTATCTCCATCCAATTCGCAGAAATTTCATATCGAAACTGATATCGAATTTTTAAAGGGAAAATTTTGTAGCGCGTGCGTACGCTAAATTTTCCTTAATATCTCCGAAATGTATAAACATATTCATAAAAAATTGCAAAAGAAATTTGGGAAACAAATTTTTCTTAACTAAACAAACGATTATATTTCGCAAGCTGTAACAGTGCGTGACATGGAATTCGTGATATAACCTTGAGATGTGTCAATTAAAGAGATGGAACTGGTGATTATAACGAAAGTGAAAATTATTAGTAATTATAAGAAAATCATCAAAAATTTCGTGTATAAAACTCATAATTATGATTTTTTCCAAAACATTCGAGTTCTAGAACCTAGTGTCAAAGGGTATTTTAATGGAACACCAGTCGGCGTCTTAATATGTTCTCTATCCAGAATTTTGCGACCGTCTGCGACCGTTCATACATAAATTTCATATTTCGTTGCCGACGATTAATCAACCGAGGGTTGTTATGTTTGTGGAAAACTTATAAGGAAAAGAGAATTTCATTTTGCGTATTGCTATTTTATTTTAACTTATTAAAAACTGTTAATAATAATATTAAAAACTAAATTATATATAAAATAAAAACCTTTTGCAAGTAATAATCGTTGCTTTTTTTCTTCAATGGGCAAAACTGAACCTGAAAAATGTTCTCCCTGATTATTTTCCGTAAAAATAACTCCAAAACTAATATATAAAAAAATAATTTTTCATAATGAGTATTTAGTACTATAAAAATGCTATGGGTATGGATATTTCGAAACAAACATTTGCTTTATCGAAATACATATTTTTGATCATGGCACTGCGTAGAATTTTCTGTATTTAGAGCTACTGAATTTAACCAAAATTTTTAACTTGTATGCACTTTATGATGTATTCGTGGCGAAAGAGGTTATAGCTTAACGTGGTACTATATTGAAATACAACTAAAATGCCTCAGTGTTTAATTTGTGCCATTAAGAAAACGCCGTCCAAAAACAATCCATAAAGTTTTATTTAATTCCGTATTATAACGATTGTTATTAAATAATACAACTTTTTTGTCTTCTTAAAACTTAAAAACGCACTTAAAGTAAATACATCGGTTTTACGTCGACTTTGTTGTTTGTTTTTATAAATTCAAAATACATACATATTTTATAATAGAAACATTTGGTCACGTCGTCATTTCTGTTAAGCAATGTCGAACTAAACGATTATTTTATGTAGGTTGTGTTTTGTATAACTTATAGAGCCGGGGTATTGTCGACGGGGTATTATATAACATTTAACTGGAAGTGCTATGTTTAAAAACGCCGACTCAGTCGAAGCTCCAGTTCTTAATATATTTTATACATTTGCATCTCAACAATTTATTATGTTAAATTGTATGGAAAATGTTTGCCCACTAATTATTAACAAATATAAACGAAATATCTTTGGCAAAACTTCAATCTCGAAAGAGAAAACTATCTAAAAATCATACAAAATATTTGAAAAAAGAACAAACCATCTAAATCATAATGAAAAATGCGAAAGTGTTTGTTTTCTAATTGCAATACACAAGCACACTGTTCACCACATGGATGGAGCAACTTGTTCCTACTTCTTATCGTATCGCATATTGCAGTGGCTCGCGCAGACGACTTGAAAATACTGTCGAACGTTACACCCAATATTCAGTATGTAGCAATATTCAAAAAACCGTACAAAGAACCCTAAAAAAGGAAATTTCTATTTTGTAAAATCGTATATAAATATTTAATTTAACTCACAATATTTGTTATTAACCCTTTGAGCCCCGAAGGGTTAATAATGAAATATTTTTATACATTAGTCACTATATACATTACTGCTTTATTATTATTAATTAGATTCATATTCAGAACATACGTTAGGAATTTATAAAATATTATATTCCCAAATGTACGATTTAGTATCTTCCATTTTATAATTTCGGGGCTTTATTTTATGGTTGTACAAGGAATAAGATCCTTTTTCAACTCGGCTCTACCAAAATTTCGTGTTGTTCTAATTATTTTGTCACATGCCTCGATAGAATCTTGTGAATGTCCCTGCAATGGTAATGTACTGTACCTGTGCTTTACATATCCAATGCCATGAACTACAATGAAATAATTCGTTGATTCGTCAATATCAACCTTTTAAAATGTTAATTTTTTAATGGTTATTGAAGTCGTCTTAACTTGAACATTCACCGACAACAATTCTGCCTGGAAATTAGTGGGTCCAAAATTAAAATTTCTAAGAATTTTCAGATACAATATTATAATACATACATCCACTCAGTTTTAACCTCAACTGTAGTTATATAGGGACGTATGCTTTCATCAGATACAAATGCACAAGAACAACCCTTGCAGCTGCTGTATTTACTGTACATGTGTTAGTAAATGTTCAATGTTTCATATGGATATAGACACACACACACATAGTAACGGTGTGTCTGAGGATATAGCAAAGGAATTTGTTGTTGTTGTTTTCAGAAGAGAAGATACACACATTGTATGGCAGATGTTTTGCTTTCAAAGGATATTCACACCCGTTGTGCACTGGCTTGAAACATTCGCATACATCGTCAACAATAACAACAACTTGTTGTGATTATATGATCACCTATTCACTTGCAATCCACACGTAAGGGAATTTACCTGATTTTTTTGTTTGTTTGGAAGGAATACACCTGGCAACGTTTCACTTACAATTTGCAATTGGGTACCTGTTTCAGAAATGACTACGTTTTGCTGTTATTATTTGATCACATTCTGCACAACTACAATCACAGCACTTGTAAATCATAATTGGGATAAGAAAGCAAATCATCATTCTGTGTTAAAGAAAAAAGAGACTACTACATTTAAGTACATGCCTTCATAAAAGATCCTCAAATACATACGAAATAGCTTTGATCCTATTTATGTGACAGTTCCTACGGCGGCAGTGCTGTGATACATACATCTGTTGTATATATGTGTTTGTAGAGACAGCTTCATTGTGTACATTTCTTACAGACAGTGAGTGAGCATCCTGTTAAGTGGCTCTTCATGTCCCTTCATCGCATATGTCGCAGTTTAAGTGTGTGTGTGTTTAAGGGTATACACGGCAAGCAGCATGTTGCCTGTTTGCAACTTCTATCGCTGTGTTCACATTAAGGTGTAATTGGTGTTGTCGAAGAAGCCAATGCTCGGTTTAGTTTGTTTTAGTCCGTGGATGGGATAACACGCGCATGCGCACAATGTGCCACTGATTCCAAAAAAAAAAAAAACTAACTGAAAACCGTTTTATCACATTGCGTTGGTTACTTACCATACGTTGTTGTAGGGACAAAAATAATAAAGAATGGAACTGTCTGTGTTGTGATATAAATTAAAAGAAATAAATAAAAAAATAAAGGAAATGTGTTTCAGATAATTAAATACTAAAATAGTAAATAGAACTGTGATCCCCAAAATATTGTGATAGAAATCGAAGAACACATAAAATGATAATTTGTATATCGGGATTTATAATCGGGGAAAGGTATAATAATTTATAGATGAAAAAACATACACAATTTCAAAGACACTTTTTCGATTTTATTTGCCAACATTTTTGTTATTCCAAGATTGTCATATTTATTCAATGTAATTTTTTTCAGCTTTCCTCAAAAATCCATTGAACGCAGTGGTTCGACACAGTACGGTATTGCCGGAATCCCAGGTTCGAACACTTCCGGCTCGGAAAGCGGAGGATACGTTTACCTACAACAGCACTATGTACCATCGACCGCATCCTCAAATTCGGTAAATTCAATGAATTATCATAGTGATAATCAGTCTGCAATGATCTTCCAGCACCACCCACAATCGTACGCATCGTGCCATCAGCAGCAACAACAACATTTGCCAATAAATATGCATGGAGGTAATACAGTTGTTAATTGTTTTCTTCTGGCAAACTCGTAACGATTTTTTTTGTGTATCTATTTTTAAATAGGTGGCCTACACTATGCCCATCATATCAGCACACATGACCATGGACATCACAAAAACATTCACCATGTCCACGGACATCATCAACATCACTATCATCACGGCGGAGCAGTTGTAATGGCTGGCAGTGGAGTTGGGACCGGAACTGGCTGTGGCGTCCCCGGTACGTCTCCATCGTCTATGCACCAACAAAATGTGAATAAGAAGACCTCAATTCGTAATGGCAGCGAAGTTTTAAAGCGTTCTAGAACACAGTCAGCGTAAGTATATGAGAATGAAATTAAATGTTATACATATGGTTATAGAATGTATTACTAAATTATATATATATATATATATATGCAGACTAAAATTAAAAAACAATGTGATCTAGTTGTGACTGCAGTATTTAAATTTTCTAGTTCACCTCTTTATAAATTACTACATAGAAGTATTTTCATAAAATATTAATAATTATAGGAAAATTGTAAATTGCAACTCTGTGTGACTGATAGATAAGTGGATAAATTGTATAAACATAAAATGGAAAATGTAATTGTTGAAAGGTACTCCTACATTCGGTTGTTTGATCGAATAACTAATTTGAGTGTTATTGCAACACTTGTCGGAGGAAGAACTGTCGATGTATTGCAATGTCATTGTGTGTAGAAATGTTTCATATTTTTATGCTTTTCAACCAAGGCTAAATAAACATTTTCCGCATCAGTAATATATCAAAGTCAAAATCCACCACAATCATTCTTTAGGACAGAATAAGCATGCTGTATAAAGTCAAATAGTATAGTGTCATATATCTGCGATTTCGCATATTTTGATTCAAAAAAATTGCCCAAAATGAAAATATAAAAATGGCTGTGTCTGGTTTACTCGGTATTTGGTAACAATTGTTACCAAAAGTTACTGGATGTTGTCTGTTTACTCCAAAGTCCAGTAAAAGAGAGCGAAAAGAGAGAGCTAGTTTGACAGTCCTACGAGAGAGCCTACTGAATGTTGGAGTAGGATTTAACCAGGACAATTCGATGTATTTCAAAGGGCGATGAATTCAAAATTTGACCGAAGTCAAGAATTTTTTTATTTACGAATTTTATTCCTTAATAAGTCTATAATGAACATTTCAGCATTTTAAATTAAATTACGAGATATTTTGCAAAATCTTACTGGATGTTGTCTGTTTACTTTTCTCGGTATTATTCAGAAGAGAATAAAAACGGCTTACTCTCTGGAATAGAACGTACTGAGTAAATTTTACTGGAAAAGTAAAATTCGCATAAAATTTGCATAATCCATCCAATCCAATAATAAAAATAATAAATGATTTGAACCGCTGTTTTGTTGTCAAATTATTAAAAATATTGCTGCAACAATGATTTTTTGCGATTCTGTAGCAAACACGCACCAACAAACCCACATACTGGGTAAATGATTAATACAATAGATAATGTACACTAAAAAAACAGGTGTTTTAGCTTTCGGTTTTCTTATATATTTGGAATACATGGACGGTTTCACACAACGAACTTGTTTTGATAAACGTATACTCACTTATACATTTATAGACTCAATGTTTATCTATGTGTGTATACATACCCATAGAGAGATCTTCGTCTGTTTTTGTTTCATTATTGTGTGAATTTGTTTTGTTTGTTTTTTTATTTTTTGCCAAATAAATTGACGCAAAAGAAAGAAACAATTGTTATCTTATCGACTAGCAGCAAATTCTTCGACTACGATAAGACAAGGAGACAAATGTAAATACAAACGTTATTTTTTAAGAGACAACACTCGCACTAGTATAATATTTTGCAGATACTGGTTTCGATTGCCTTCGAATGATGGGCAACATTTTAGTTATAGGATATTTAATGAGAAGTCTACTAAAAGTGCTAATCTATCTGTGATTCTCAGGTACGAACTGTCACAAGATTTGCTGGAAAAGCAAATAGAGTTACTGGAACGTAAATACGGTGGCGTGAGAGCTAGAAACGCTGCTATAACCATACAGAGAGCCTTCCGGCACTATATGATGGTAAAGAAATTTGCCTCGATTACAGCAATGGCCAAAGCAGAAAAGCGTCTGAGCCGTCGGACTATGGTAGTGGGTGCTGGCAGTGGGGTGGTGGATGACACCATAGTCAATACTTCTTTATCATCGGCTTATGGCGGCAACGTGGAATCTCAACCACTAGATGGAACAAATGTGAACGCGACAGGAAACCAACAGCAGCCTCGAGTTACTATAATGGCTGGTCCACCTGGAGTTGTTAGTGGTCATCAACCATTGTCTTCGGGGTCGAGAACACCACCAACACGATCATTATCAATGCGTGAACGGCGTCACGTGGACGGAGGTACAATACCGCGAAGTCAATCGGGTAAGATGGGCAATGGTGATAAAAATTCTAAAATTTATAATCGTATTTCTGTTTTTTTTTTCAAGGAATGTCTAACACTTCTATAACAAGTTGTGCATCCACGGGTGGAAGTGGTTCAAGTCATCCACATGTAAATCTGTTACATGCTGCCGAACCTCACTATTACGCAGTACATAACCTTAGCGGAAATCAAATGGCCGCATATTGCGGCAGCTACCATTCTGTACAACACGATGCAAGTTTTGCTAGTTCGGCAAATAGCTCACATCTCGACTCGTCCCTTAATGTATCGTGGGTGAATAATAGTGGCACATCTCCACATACCCCATACTATTCAGCTGCTCAAATCTATATGCGTCCACGGGGCTCGTCATCCTCGTCGCAGGAGCGAAAAAAAGTTCCACCAGAAGTTCCGAAAAGAACTTCGTCTATTACTGCACAGCAGCACAGCCAAATGCAAATGCAACAACACCAAGCTCATCAGCAAATGATGATAATGCGCCAAACGCCCCCGCCTCCTTCAATGATGCGTACCAATGGCTTGTGCAAGTCGGCCGAAAATGGAAGCCTAACTTCAGTACAAAGCTCAGGTAGTGATTCTAGCGCTACATCCGTGGAACGTAATGCGGTTAGTGACATGGGTTCAGACCGATCTAATTCACCAAATACATGGAAACGTGGCACCAATCTAAATAGTTCCCAACAGTTTGTTCACAATTCCGACCCTGCCTATGCTCACGCACAAAATTCTGCCGCAATTGCATCTGCTTTGGCCACTGGTGCAGTTGGTGTAGAGGATCATGCTATGTCTTCGCATACGAGTGCTGCTCAATACGAGCAACATGAGACACAGGAGCATCATCAAATGATTGCACCACCTGCGCAAGCTCCCAACTATAAAGTTTCTGAAACGATTCGGAAGCGCCAGTATCGCGTTGGACTCAATCTCTTCAACAAAAAGCCCGAGAAAGGTATAACGTATTTGATACGTCGTGGTTTTCTGGAAAATACGCCACAAGGCGTTGCTCGATTCCTCATTACTCGAAAGGGGCTGTCACGTCAGATGATTGGAGAATATTTGGGTAACTTGCAGAATCCGTTCAATATGGCAGTACTCAATTGTTTTGCCATGGAACTGGATTTGTCGGGAATGCAGGTGGACGTGGCTCTGCGCAAGTTCCAGGCCTACTTCCGCATGCCTGGCGAAGCTCAGAAAATCGAACGTCTGATGGAAGTCTTCTCCCAACGCTTTTGCCAATGCAATCAAGATATCGTAGGACGCCTACGATCTTCAGATACAGTGAGTATAACTGGACTCATATTGTTTTACTTTTCCTCCTAAAAAATAATGAATTTCTTTTGCAGATTTTTGTACTAGCATTTGCTATTATTATGTTAAATACCGATCTTCATACACCGAATTTGAAACCAGAGCGGCGAATGCGTGTGGAAGACTTTATCAAAAACTTACGTGGCATTGACGACTGTCATGACATTGACAAAGATATGTTAGCAGGTATATATGATCGTGTCAAGGCCAATGAATTCAAACCCGGCAGCGATCACGTCACCCAGGTGATGAAAGTGCAAGCGACAATTGTTGGTAAAAAACCAAATTTAGCTCTTCCACATCGCCGGCTGGTGTGCTATTGCCGCTTATACGAAATTCCCGACATCAATAAAAAGGAACGTCCTGGCGTTCACCAGCGTGAAGTTTTTCTTTTTAACGATTTGCTAGTCATAACGAAGATTTTCAGCAAGAAGAAATCATCTGTAACATATACGTTTCGCAATAGTTACCCACTAAGTGGCATGGTTGTTACTCTATTGGACGTACCCAATTATCCTTTCTGCATTCAGTTGTCACAAAAGGTGGACGGCAAGATTCTGGTCACCTTTAATGCACGCAATGAACATGATCGTTGCAAATTCGCAGAGGATTTAAAAGAGTCGATTTGCGAAATGGATGAGATGGAAGCTTTACGCATAGAAGCCGAACTAGAGCGACAAAAATCGGCTCGAACACGTGCCACTGGCAACTCTGAGAACCGCGATAGTGGAGTGGCGGATGTTGAAGTTTGTCCATGCCCATATCAAACACCCCAGACGAATGAGCATGCACAAAATACTGCAGACTCGTCGCAACAACTGAAAAGAAGCGCTCTCAGCAACAGTTTGTTGGATATACACGAACAATGTAAGTCATTGCATTAAATATGTACTTTAATGATTACCATTTTAGTTATTCACAATTGTAACGTAATATTCAGCAATGGATCAGAATTATAATTATGACTTTAAAATGTAACGAAAATAATTTAAATACATAAGAAAGAAGAAAATCATTGTTCACATCTGCGGTTTCCAATAATTATACAACATCGCTTGAAATAGTTTTGTTTTAATTAAGTTATTGTTTGTACAATGGTGTTGTTAGCAACAAGAATAGAGCTTTAAATGGAAGAAAGTCATAACCATAGCGTTATAAAATTGAATAAAAACAGATTCATAACTGTTAGAATTGAGACTTAATTGTCAATAATATATGTATTACTAAAATTAAATCCACAAATTTTGCAGGGAAGACACACATGGTTATATATTGATGGAACATTATTAATAGTAAGTTGTTGTATATATTTTCAAAATTGCTATAAGTTAAATGCTTAAACCATGAACTGATTGATCCACGGTTCATCATCATAAGTTCTCATATTTCATTTCATGCAACATTCTTTGCATATCAAAAGTTGGGTTTAGGTTTTGAATATAAAGTACTAGTTTTGTTCTTATCACAAAATAATTAAGTTAATGACAATATATTAAATATTATTATTTTGGGTTAGTAAAACTTCTACAATATTTCAGTTGTTAACTTACCGGATTTATAAGCAAATGCAAATTGGCAGCTATCGATAATTATATATACATTTTTGTCACTAAAAAGTTAAACAATTTCAATGCGTATTCGCATGGAAGAAAAGACTATAATAACATGTTATTATACGTTTTTCTTCGACGCCAACTGCAATTTGTCTGTGCTTGCCTGTGCGTCCTAGTATACATCTGAATAAAATATAAGGCGATCGGTTTTATATTCGAGTTTGGACTGCTAATTTCGTTCTAATGTTTTTTAAATTCATTCTTTTTATGTTTCTTTTTTACAAAAAAAATCTAAGCTATAAATTTCTTATTATTAACAGACATTCAAATAGATAAAACACACACACACACATAATCAACCGACATATTATTTCTTTAGAAAACAATATTTTTTTAATGCAATTTCAGTTAAAGGCAAATATATTTTCTTTTTTCAGTCGGTAGCGATAAGCCACAGAGACGAGGCAGCGTTGGTTCTCTAGACAGCGGTATGTCGATATCTTTTCAATCAACTACAACCAGTAACGCATCACGGGAAAACGCAGCAGTCATTGCTGCCGCAGCCAATGCCGCTGCCGCAAAACTGAGACTAGCTCCACCGGCTGCAAATGTCGGTGGATTGTATATTGCGCCCGGAATGCAAGGTTACAATCAAGTGAATTACATTCATCCACATACGGCTCATATGTTACAACAACAGCAACAACCATCTCAGGCACCCGTAAGTGGCCGAATTCCGGGACGTGAACGAAAACTTTCTCGGTCAGAAGAAAATAGATCCACAGAAGTCTAAACAATTAATATCTCATAAATTATCTATATATTCCTTTTGTTTTGTAAAAAACCTATCCATCGCTTCATTACATTTTTGTTTTTTTTTCACCGTATTTTAGTGTAATGATATTGTCTTCGTATTGGTAGACATAAGTCTTTTTTCTAAAGTAATGCTAAGTACTTTCTCTAAACATAACCAAACACATAAACTCATAATACGTTTATATATGTACATAAGCATATATATATATATTTATGAAATATATAACAAACCTATTAACGTAATTGAACTTGCAGGCCTGCTCTGATGTACTATATATTTTGGGCACGTCGGCATTTATCTATCTATATTTATCAGCATTATTTATGGAAATGTATAAGTAATTATCCTAAACGAATGTTTTGTAAATACATTAATTGACACATGGAAATTAAAAATCAATTTAAAAGAAGAAGAAAAATGTTGTATTATTACACTATCTCGGGGTGGTTTACACATGCAACTCTGCTGCTCCTCTTTACGATTCTCTTTTGAATTTCTTCCCCCCTTGTCATTTGTCTTACCTCTCTGCTTACAAAAGCTGCATGTCACAGTGATTTTTCATTCGTGTTTTTGATAATCCAGGAGGTCCTCCACCTCTTGTGGCAGGTGTCAGGTAAGAGGGGTCTGAGAGTGAGAGAGTAACGGGGAGGTCAAACGAAATAAGATTGCAGTTGGAAGCTGCAGTCGGAGTGGTAAAAAACGCCAGCAAGGCAATGGAGCTCCGAATTATGAGAGTTCGAATGAAAATAATGAAATTAATTTTGATAATGTTAACAAAAATGTAACAACTGAAAAAGAAAGTGAAAATACTCGGGCATGTTCTGGTATTCACTTCAACGGCAGAAGTGTATCGAACACACGCCGAGGTGTTCTGTAACACACTTTTCACCCATTTGAGGTGTATTCTTTACACTTACATTTTCATAGTGAGAGTCGGGTGTATACATGTTTTCTATATAAAAGAAAATCTTTTTTGAAATAAAAAAGACACATGATGTTAGATTAATATGTTATTATTGCGTATAATTTGTTTAAAATCACCAAATTATGATAAAACGCCTTTAAAACCCAATTTTAAATAGATAGTTTGTGTTGCATTTATTCCGAATGAATCTCTCGACAACGAATACAGTTTATATTGTATGGCAACACTATTTCTGCAAAGTACCATGTTTGTGTTTATTTTTGTCACAGTTCGTAAATTTCAATTCACGTGAGATGCAGAACAGGAGGTAACTTCTGAAGTGAAGTGAAAAGAACACACCGTGAGTTCCAGAACATACAATACTGTTTTGAAAATAAAGAAAAATACAATTTATTATGAGGAATCACATAGTGACCCATATATGGTGTATGTTGACACTGAGCCTAAAAATAACGTTACACAACCGTTAAGCCTAGTCCCCTTAGCGCGTCATATAATTTACTTATAGACGTACTATAAGAAAGTGATATGTCGCGCCAAAAATTTTTGGACACTTTGTTTCAAAGTGTCAATGCGAAAACAACTCCAATGAGTGCTAACGGGCTAGCCAGATTTATTCACAACGTACAATCATACGCAAAGGTTACCAAAATCAATAAAAAAACAAAATTAGGAAAGGGGAAAGATTAGGAAATTACAAGAGAAGTATCGTGAAACAAGTAATGAATGTGAATGTTATAATTCGCCAAATGGTACAGCATTAAACAACTATAAATTATTTAATTAAATTTAAATATATTTGTTTTCTATAAAGTTGTATAAAGAATGTCTTGTAGGTCTGGCACTATTCAGACTCTTACTGAAATCTAAATATGTATGTTAAAAAAAGTTTCGTGACACCATTGGTCGGTTTCAGAACCTATAAAAAATTTTATATTAATCGAAATTGTTTTCGATTTAAAATAGCTTAAGGAAGGTTCACGAATCTGAAAAGTACAATCAACAAAAATAAATATAAAATATTGCAAAAGTTTTAATTGTATATATGATCTGTTCCCATACTCCTAAAGTAGTGAAGTTTTTCAATTTCAATTAATTCAATATTTCAATATTTATATTATTATTTTTTTTATTTTACATACATATTTTTTTCTAAAATTTTGTTTTTGCGAAATATTCAGCTTTATGTCTTCTTTACAAGAAAAAAAAACACGTTCATATTAACACTACTGAAGTTTTTTAAAATATTTAACAAATGTTTAATGCTTTCTTTTCAATTAAATTATTTAATTTTTTCTTGGTGTCATCTATTTTCAAAATACAATCAATGCGCCTTAATCCAAAGGAAACCATATATCCCCAATCCCCGGCTCAAAATCCCCAAATTTTGTTGCAGACGAAGCAGCAAAAAGAGAAGACGAATTCGGAAAGCTAATAGATAAGAAATTGATAATATCCGACGCCTTAGCTCAGATATTGCAGGTGTTTTGGTGTGCATGGTCTTTAGAATATAAAGATCGTAGCATGTCCAGCTCTTCTCACTACTTTGCGATCTTCCCTGACACCGCACAGTGTCACGACTGCGGCCAAAAATGGTCAAACAAATTTTTTGATAACCTTGATAGAAAATGCTCCAATTAGAAGAAATATGAAATTTTATATCGATACGTCAGTAGTTTTGTCTTTACATAGGTTCAAATCTGATAATTTTTGTAAACTGATTTTTTTTACCATATTTTCGAAAAATGGGTATATTTTATATATTCCTATGTATTTGTAAATTGCTAAATTTCATTGAATTTGGTTAAATATTAATTTGTGTGGGGCGGGGTCCCTTAAATAATTTTGTATTTTTATTTAATACGAATCTACACTATTTCAAGAATGTGAAAATCTCAACAACTCTTGAAGATATAGCCGATTAATTGTGCTAGCATCAATATCAATCCAATCGGTCAATAACTTCCTTATTTTTTAAAAACAACAAAATTTTTGTACTTTATTATTCTTTTCCTTCCTTCCTTAGTATATTAGTTTCCTCTGTGATACACATTTTTGGTATCGGATATACGCGAAGTGTTGTGTTTATAAGTTCAAAGACATTAACCAACGATTAGGCATATAACAACCATATAATGGTACCACCTGATTTGATATTTATTTTAGGTACTTTAAGGATCAACATGCTCCAATGGAACTATTATTATTTTCAAGAAAATAATCTAGGGCATGGATCTTAGGATCAGAACTCTATTCCGAATGTCTTCTGATTTTCATCCTTACATTTGTCCTAAATTTTACGTGGATTTTATGGAAAACGTGTACATACAATGATAGCGTGTACATTCAATGATATACTTCTCAATTATTTTTTTCTCAAAAAAATTATTGTATTCTCACATATTTTTTCCATACAATGTCAATCTAATTGAAAAAAATAAAATATTTTGAAAATTATCAATAATTGACAAATGAAGGCTTATAGGATTGATTCACTTCCAATTCCAGCCCAAAATTTCTCTAAATGCAACTACGACGTGATGCAATCAAAATAGTACGAAATTCGTGAAATGCAAATAAGCTTCATAATATTTTTTGCAAATTTTCCGCAGTTTCGATTTTTTCTTTTTTTTCTCAACTTTTAAACCTTCCCTGGACCTCCACGAACATTTCAAGACCAAGATAAGATAAATCCGTTCAGCCGTTCTCGAGTTTTAGCGAGACTAACGAACAGCAATTCATTTATATATGTATATGTATGTACATATCGACGCCTCCGAAGAATAGTATGCTAAGTCTGAAAAGTTAGTTTTTCAGGAGAAGCTCTCAAAGTTTACGGGCGTTATCTCGGGAGCGGTGTGAGATAGAACATTGAGTGCTTTACTGATTTTAACGAAATTTAAATATGACTTTGGTAGCACGTCTAAATTTAACATTTTTCTAGCAGATTATAGCTAAAATTGACTTAGAATACTTTAGCATGGACAAACATTTCATAAGAAGTCGGCTAAGTCGACTTAGCATGTTTTGTTACGCACCTTTCTATTCAAATTAGTCACTTAAGTATACACAGCATGTTGTGGTTTGGAACAAAATGGTGATACATTTTATTGTCATTATACTTAGACGAACTAAGAATATAATTTATAATTAAAACAAGTGAAAAAGCGTTAAGTTCTGCAGGGCCGAATTTTGGATACCCTCCACCACAGATATTCCGACAGGTACTTGAAATGAAAATATAGGGAAAATATCAAAAAGTGGACCTATACCGACATTTTTACAAATCGATTATGTAAACCATATTAAAAATTTCAGATAAATGCGACCTGTAATTTGTTTTCAATTGAACAACAACAGACGGAGGACAGGTGGACGGACGGACATGCAAAAATCGACCCAGAAAGTGATTCTATGCATATTCTCAAAAGGAACTATGGGTCTATCTGTACCACTGTACCACAGTGTGGTGAAAGGTACAAAATTGATATTTTATAAAGGCAAGAACTAATGTCTTCTGAAATAGTTTATCTTTATTTTCCTCTTTGTTACTTAGCATGGTCTCTGTAGTTACTACTTCTCCTTTTTAGAAGCGAAATCAGATTAATAACATAATATAAGTAACTATTACCTTTTGACATATTTTGTGCCAATTTCAGCTTTTTCCGCGCAGTCGATCTCATATCATTTGTAAAAATGTGAAAATTTTCGTTCTTTATCAGTCGACTATTTTTTCCAAACTATAGTATGCTATGTATACTTAGTCCCAATTTAGATTGGGCGAGTTTACTTGCGGCAAGTCTTTGTTTGCAGGAGAGAGGGGCAAGGGGAATAGAAATTGGATAAAATTGCCCGTACCGACAATTTTCTGGCAATTCGTTTTGTGTATTTTGTTTATAGTCTCAGTAATTTGAAATACCAATCCAGAACATTGTCACAAAATGTAAAAAAAAGATATTTTTGAAACCGAATTGCCTTGTATAGACGCATGAAGCAAGTTCAAAAGAGAACGATAAGAATCGCCGCAAGTAAACTCGCCTAATCTAAATCAGGACTTACACACACAAA